GAGAATTCTCAGATGCTAATTTATTAGTCAGATTCTTGGCAGGAAATAGATGGCACCCTCAACTGGATGACTCAAAAGAGTTTAATGAAAAACTACTATAATTATAAAGGTGTGAACAGAACAGGGGAAACCATCAAGGAAAGGCTAGGTGTCCCAAGGCCAGCCACTGTGGGAAGCCTTCACCATTCTTGGACCTGAAAGGATACAAAATTATTAGTGAAATGTGGCAGGACTGTAGACACAGGAGCCATGGCCTCAACAGAGCATGTCAGACACTTCCAACCTGTGGCCTGGCAGTGGAGGAGCTGGGCAGACACACACTGTGACCCTCTCTCCCCACCTTTCAGGCTCCCATGGCTGCCTGTCATTTGCTGAACCCACTGGGAAGCGGGCCCTGAGATGCAGGGTTTGGAGGAAGGAATTTTAAGCAGAGAACAAGGTGGGGAAAGGCAAAGATGGTCAGGAGAAGCAAATGGAGATGGTCCCACATTCTCAGGAAGGGCATTCAAAGGTGCTGGATGCTCCACCTCCTTCACAAAAGACAAATGTTCACCAGGAATCCATGGGAAAGGATGGGTAGAAGGCCACAGTGTCAGTGCAGCCTGTCTCTTTTTGGAGGTTCCCACACATTTATCTTTTCATTTAACATATGCTCTCATTCCTTCTTCTTTTAATTTTCGTTTGCCAAAAAATTTTAATATTTTTTCCCCTCTCTTTTCTTAGTCTATATTTTTTCCTCTTTTACCTTTGCAACATTCTTCCCCTTCCCAACTCATTTACTTTTGTCTTTTATATTTCAATTTTATTAAAGTGAAAAATATACTTGAAAGGAGAGCCAGAAACCAGGAAACAGGTAAGCCAGAAATGAAAGATGGAGAGTGGGCAGAAACACACAGGAGAGTTTATTTGTCAGAGCTGACAAAGGCCATCTCTCTATAGTAGAGAGAGGCAAAACAGGCTGGGGTTCCAGATGTCCTAGAGCAAAACTTTTCCTTAAAGTGGTGGCTGTCACTTAAGATGGCCATCCACATGCTAAGCAAGGAGCTTATAAATACTACAGAGGAAATGCTGCACATTGTGACAGCTTATAAAAGAGTTAAACAGCTCTGTGTGAGTGAAGGATAAGGAAAATAATGACTTCCAGGATAGAAATACAGGAGGACAGTGTGGCTTAGGAGGAGGGAGGGGGGAGAAGGCAAACACCAATCCTTCCCAGTAACTATGGGTCCTGGAAGGCAGGTACAAATACTTAGTGCTGGGCCCTGGACTTTCATCCTTTCCCATTGTCCATGAGTCCTGGAAGGAGAAAAGCCAACAGTGAAGGTCTGGGTAACAATGGATCCTCAAGGAAAGAAGATAAGCAATGACCACAGGGCTCTGAAATTTCATCCCTTCCTAGTAATGAAGAGTTTCAGACCTTTTACAACTTTTTTCATGACTGTCCATACCTTCACGTTATGTTTTAGTCTCCAATGATTAAGCTCCCCTCATTGGAAACTATAAAACCTAGACTCCTTCTGTATCCAGCATCCATTTTCTACACCAAAAATGAATCCGTTAGCTCATTTTTGAGTCAATCCTGACTGATTGACTCTGTTGCTTAAATAAACAGCATTGCTGAATCTGCTGAGGTCTGCTACTGTCTTGGTTATATGTGCTCAGTGTGAGTATCTTAGAGCTGGGGGGTAACAGTGACTTCCAGAAGGAAACACGGGAGTCCCCTGAGGACAGAGATCTTGGGGTACTTTCTTCCCTACTCTATCCCCAAGGCCTAGGAAAGTTCGTGACTCATTGTAGGCACCCAGCAGGTGCTGTGGAAAGAATGAGTCCCTGGAGGCTGGGACTGAGGATGGGCATGTGCTATTCTAGCCCAGCAGGGGGAAGAGCAGTGGTCACTGAACTGGCATCTCCATGAAAGGCTTGCTGGCAAGAACAGGCAAGGATCAAGTGATCCTGGGGCAATATGACCCAGGACAAAGCTAAGGAAAAGCAGGGGACCAGTCCTAGAGCTCTTCAGCCATACCAAAATTTTTTTTCCTTTATTTTATGACAAAGGAGAGACATTGAATCATTTAAGGAAGGGAGAGGCAGACTAGAGATTGAATTAGATTGGATAATCTCTAAGTTTTTGTTTACATGTATGATTTCTCCTACAGCAATGGATTTCTTCTATTCCTCAGTTTTCTCTTGTTCATAAATTTGTAATAGTTGAATATCTGTTTTATGCGCAACTGAATGGTAGACCATGGGAGAATTGAAGAGTATTAAAACATAGTCTCAGTATTCTATATGCTAACGTTTTATAGAGATCTACGAATACTAGGAAAAATAAGCTAAGTGTCATAAAAGAAATCAAAAGCTACTGAGTCTGTAAGATTCCAAAGAGAGGAAAGAAAATACCCAGATATTGTGGTGGTTGTTCCAAGGCAGGATGTAGTGGTGGGAAGGGAACAGGAAGGCAACCTTTATTTTTTAAAAAGGCGACTTTTGAAAGATCTTAACAAGAAGGAAAATTTCAACAGGTAAAAAGAAGTATCTTTAAGATATGATATAGGCATGAACAAAGGCATCCGCCCTGTGAAGGTATCCAATTGTGGAGTACCCAATTGTATCACAGGAAAGCAGGGAACTGAAAGTCAAAACTTCTGTTCTCATATTCCAACAAAAGAAAACTTCAAGTCAGACACCAAAAGCCAGGCAAGAGAACTTTATTATAAGTGAAAGCAAAGTGAGGATTAAACAGAGAGCATGAAAGTGGGGGGGATTATCTCTGAGCAGAGAACAACAAAGGAGAAAATGCTATCTCCATAGTTATTACTATTTGATGTTTACCAGGAGAACTGAGGACCACCTTCTGCACTCTTTGCCAATCAGGTGTTCAACTCCTCCTTCATGACAAGCAGTGGAGTTTTCAACCTTAGATGGTCCACTCTGGAACTGACATGGTGGCCAGCCCATTTAGAAGGACTTCATCCACAAGTCAATGACATGTTAATGTGGGATAGTGGTCAGTAGCTAATCAGAAGTTGCCTTAGTGCACCTGGTACTACTAAAGGACTCCTTCTTCCCAGACAATTGGAGACACCTACAGCCACAATTCCTGGATTTACACGATCCTTAAGTACCATGGAATGTGATGGACAATATTATCCAAAGTACACGTATAAAGACACAAATTGGTGTGAATATACTTTGTATACAACCAGAGATATGAAAAATTGTGTTCTATGTGTGTAATAAGAATTGTAATGCATTCTGCTGTCATATATAAATTTAAAAAAATTAATAAAAAAGATTTAGTCCCATTAATCCTTTTCTTTTGACATATTTTCCAATTAGCTCCTTTGCCTCTATTTTTTATAAATTAACTACTACCCTTTGATTTCTCATCCACTTTGAAAGTAGTTTAAATCAGACCCTAAGTAATTTAAAGAAAACTTGTGATCTTGCCATGAATTTCACTGCTTGTTACTAGCTACTACCTGACAATTGTAGAGGATTGAGGGGAAAGGGAGAGGGATAAGAGCATGTAAGTTCTGGCTGGCCTTCTATGGCCAGTAAGGAGCTTCAGCAGCAGTTCCCAGCCTTACAGGTGCATGAGCTGGAAGGGGATACTACCCTAGGATAGCATTGTTATATAATGAAAGGAATGCTGTCACAATCGCCTTCAAAGTGGGAGTTGGCAGGGGTCTGTGCAGAGTCATCTCAGAAATTCAAGTATTAAGAAAATAGGGCCTCGATCAAGGGAGCAATGATAGAATGGAATGTGGAGGTGCATTTTATAGCTATGGATTTACACCAACTATAGGTGCCTTATCCAATAGAAATTAATAAGGGAAGGCTCAGAACCAGTTTTGTTTAATTATTCATGAGTCCTCAGGATTTTGTGACTAGTAGAATTTTGGTGTCATAAATAAAAAGAAGACAAGAAGAGAAAATTTTGGGGAAAGAAGTACTGACAGTTACTTTTCAGAAAGATGCAGAAGGACAAACTTTTTAACTTTAGGAGAGATAAGGTGCACAGATATATAATAAAGCAAAAAGTGTTTGGTGTTGGTAAATGTCGTAAGGATGGTACCCCAAAAGTGCACAGAAACCCAGAAGGGATGAAATACTTTACCAGTGGGAGAGACAAAGAAGCCTGTAAGAAGAAGGTAGTCTTGAAAAATGGGCAGGATTTGTGATGTGGATTTTGTTTTGTTTGTTTGTTTGTTTTTGGAAGATGACATAGGGAAACCAATTGGTTTTATCTAGTAAAACTTAAAAGTACATATGGTCACTGACAGTAATTCCATCTGCCATTTTCTTCTTCTTCTTTTTTTTTTTTTTTTTTGAGAGAGAGAAAACTTTTTAATATTTATTTTTTAGTTTTTGGTGGACACAACATCTTTGTTTGTATGTGGTGCTAAGGATTGAACCCGGGCCACAAGCATGCCAGGTGAGTGCGCTACCACTTGAGCCACATCCCCAGCCCTGCCATTTTATTCTTTAGAGAAAACGGCTTTCGTACACAAGGATACATATGTAAAATGTTTAATGTGTAAAAAACTGAAATCTATTAAATGTCCATGTAGAAGAAAATGGATAAAACATGTTATTTCATACAAGAGAAAAATATGTATCTACTAGATTAAATGAATGAGAGCTATAGGTATCAACATGGATATATCATAAAAACATAATGGTGAGAGAACAAAGTATATATTTTAGGGATCTCTTCAGAAAACATGGCAAACTCATGCAATTTATCTAAAAATAAATCAATGAAGAGACTATATCTGGAAGTACCCATGGATGAATGGAATCAGGGGTTTGGTAAAACACTCAGAAACTAGCAAGAAAGAGAAATCTTTACCACCGTTGCACCTGAAGTGACAAAGAAGGGATTGGTGTTCATGGAACTTAGTGAGAGCTGAAGCCATACAAGAGAACCTGTTAGAAGGAAGTTATTGCCCCCAAATAAATCCATTACCAAAAAAATGCAGCCAAAGAGGAAGACAGCAGGAGGAGGAGAAATTTTACATGTACGTTTTTCTATGTTTCTATAACAAATTACCAGAAACTTAAAACTTATCAAGAAATAGTTCTGAAGTTCAAAGGTCCAAAATGGATTTCACTGGGTGAATTTCAAGGTGTCAATAGGTCTGTGTTCCTCCTGGAAGTCCTGGGGAGCATCTGTTCCCATGCTTTTTCCAGTTTCTAGAAGTCCTCTCTGTTCTTTGACTCAAGGTTTCTTCTTCTGCCTTCAAGGTCAGCATTTTATAATTGCTGACTCTGACCTTCTTGCCTTCCTTTTATCAGGATACTTCTGATTACATTGGACCTACCCAGATAATCCAGGATAATCTCCCCATCAAAAGATCCTTAACTCATCATACCTGTGAAGACCCTTTCACCATGTAAGAAAGCATATTTACAGCTTCTGAGGACTGGGACATTGACATCTATGGGAGGACATTATTCTGCCGACCATACCATATTTTCTCTTCTGTAATTCCTCAGCCTCCTGTCTTTGCTGCCCAGTGGGCAAATCTAGTCCATCAAAGAAACCTAAAGATGCAGTCCTTAGAAGTCAGCCTGTTGGGACACATGATCCTGAGAAGGACAAAGAATGGAATTGGGGTGAGGCATTGGAGACTAAGCAATGAGAGCTGTATAATGAAATGTATCATATGATATAATTTACATAAATTGGAAAAAATACAAAATACTTAAAATGATACTATATCACCAATTATTACACATTCACGGTAATGTTATTTTTAATATTTTCAGACTGTTTTAATCAGCTTTTTTGCTGCTGTGACTAAAGGACCCAACCAGAACCACTGTAAAGGAGGAAAGGTTTATTTAGTGCTCATGGTCTTAGTCCATAGTAGGCCAGCTCTATTTCTTAGGGCTTAAAATGAGGCAGGACATCATTGCAGAAGAGATTGGGTGGGGAAGCAGTTCACATGGTGATCAGAAAGCAGAGAAAGAGGGGAAGTCTCCACTTGCCTGATACAAACATATACCCCCAAAGCATGTTCCAATTCTACCTCCTCCAGCCACACCCTACTACTTCAGTAACCACTAAATTAATCCCTATCGGGGGATTAACTGGTATAATCCCTGATAGGGATTAACTCACTGATTGGGTTAAGACTCTTACAAAGCCACTCTTTTCTCCCCTGAGCCCTTTCACATTGTCTCACACACCCCTGGCCCCCCCAAAACTCATAGTCATCTGATATTCCAAATTTTTTTAGTCCATTACCTTAGTCCAAACCCCTAAGTTTCAACAGTTTTGAGATTGTTCACAGTTCAAGTCCAAAGTCTTCTCTGAGGCTCAAGGCAAACTTGTATTGTAAACTTCTATAAAATTAAAGGCAATATACAAGTATTCAATACATAAAGGTACAGAGAAAACATCTCCATTCACAAAATTAGAGGTATGTAAAGAAGGAATAGGATCAAAGTAAGACCAAAATCCAGCTGGGCAAACAAGTCCTGTAACTCCATGTCTGGCATCTGGGGTTCATGTCATTGTAATATTCTCTCCAAGGGGCTCGTGTAGCTCCTCACCTGTGGCCTTGTTGGTTTCAGCCCAAGTGGCCTTCCTGTTGGCTTGTCTCTGCTCAATTCCTGCAGCTTTCCTGGACTATGTTCCATGTTACTGGTATTTTTTAATCTTGGGGGTCTCTACTGTAGCTTCAGCTTCCTCCTCAAACCTCCATACCTTGCCTTCTCAGAGAGTGCCTGCAGAAACTCTGATCCTGCTTCACTTTGCCTGGCCTCCAAGGCCTTCCTTAGAAATCTTGATGGAAGCCTCCATGACCCCTTAACTCCAGCATTCTGCATTCCTGCAGAACCAGCACCATGTGATTGATGCCAAGGTCTACTGCCATCTCAAGCAGTAGCCAAGCCTCAGGGATCCTGGCTGTAGCAGCCTCTGAATTTCTGGGTAGCTGAACATGTTGAAAAAACTTCCGAGGCTCCTTATGCAAGAAGGATTCCTCACTGGTCTCTTCTCAAGAGAATTTTTACTTTTACTCCCTTGAATCTGAGCTGGATGTGGTCTTGCCAGCTCTGGAGAGGATACCCTCAACCATCTTTCTTATTGTCTTTGGGCAGTCTTTAGCATTTCTTTATTGGTCTTTAACAATTGCAACTTCCTTAGCCCCAGTTTTACTCCCACTTTTCAAGTCCCAGTTTTTCAAATCTTTCTCCTCTGCTTTCTGCTCTTGATTATCACAATAAATTTGACTAAAAACCACCAGCAATATCCATGCTACCTCATGAATGCTATGCTGCCTAGACATTTCTTCCATCAGATTAAGAAGTCTATCACATTTAAAATCAGCTTCACAGAAAGTCTCAGGACATGAGCAAAATGCAGACAAATTCTCAGCCAGAACATGACAGGAATGGCCTCTACTCCAAACTCCAATAGAGTTCTCCTTTTCTGAACTCTCTTGAGACTCTCTTGAGTCTTCACTATCCATGAAACTATGGGCATTCTGTTCTTCTGAGCTCCCACAATAATAAGCCATTAAGCTCCACTTAACAACAACCTAAAGTCTTTCCAGCTTGCACTGCTAAGCATCTCAAAATCCCTCCTACCAATTCCAAAAACTCCAAAAAGTTCTGAACCACATGGTCAGGTTAGTCACAATAACAATCCCACTTGGTGGTACCAATTTCTGTTTTTGTCAGCTGTTTTGCTGCTGTGACTATCGGACCTGACCAGAACAACTATAAAGGAGGAAAGGTTTACTTAGGAGTCATAGTTTCAGAGGTCTTAGTAAATAAAAGACCAGCTCTATTCCTGGGGGCTCAAGGTGAGGTAGGCAGGACATCATGGCAGAAAAGTGTGGGGGAAGGGACTGCTCAAATGGTGATCAGGATTCAGAGAAAAAGGGGCAAGGTCTCCACTTGTCAGATACAGATATATACCCCAAAGCCATGCCAAATTCCACCTTCTCCAGCCACACCCTACTACTTCAGTTACCACTCAGTTAATTCCTATCGGGGGATTAATTCACTGACTGTGTTAAGGCTCTTACAACCCAGTCGTTTCTCCTCTGAACCCTCTTGTCTAATATGTGGAGTTTTATGGGACACCTCACATCCAAACCATAGCACAGACTATCAAAATTTGCAGAGATAATACATATGGCTTCTGTATAGCCCTTTATTAACATTCTACCCTTCATCCACATCCTATTGTTTACATTTTACATTGGTGCAGGACATTTATCACAACCCATATGGATGCATTATTATTAACTGAACTCCACATATTACTCAGTTTTCCTTAACTTTTTCCTAATATCATGTCTCAGGTTCCTTTTTACTGGTGACAATTTCCCAGACTTTTCTTGTTCTTGATGAATGATATCTTTAAAATATACAGGAGCCTAAAATACTCCTTTTAGGATATCAGGTACCTCCAGGGTCAATGTGAAGGGAATTGCATCCCAGCAGGGATACACAGGTCCTTGGGAAATGTTCACAATGTCTTCTTTCTTTGAACACATCTGAAACAGGCAAATGTTTGGAACTGAGGGGACTGGATGGAGGGTATATTTGTTGTATTATTCTCTGTGGGATTTTCATTTGGTTGAAAGAGTTCAGAATCAAGTCAAGGACTTGGTAAGAAGGGAGAAGCATGAGGGAGGGTGGGTGTAGTCTGAGGGGAAATGGGCTGTGAAGTGGTTAAGCCAGAGCTGACAAATGCTGGAAAAGTAAACTATAAGCCCTGGTTCAGATTCCAATGGTGGAGACCAAATTAAAATTCTTTACGTGAGAGGCACTGGTGACTTCTGAGCAGTGGAGTTGGAGGATTATCCTTTGAGAGCTATTGGAAGTCATGTTGGAGAATTAAGGTGTCCTCGCAGCCAGGAGAAAGGTGCCCAGCTATGGATATGCAATGATAGGGCCCTGGATGTGAAATAATAGTGAACACTTAGCGAGTGCTCACTCTGCTAGTCCTCACTCTGCCAGTCCTCTGTGTTCCTAATTTAGTCCTCACAACAGCCCACTGAAGTAGTATTATCACCACCTCTATTTTACAAATGAGAAAACTAAGCCACAAAGAGGTTGAATAACTTCCAGATAGTCACAAATCCTGGCACTGAATGGGAGGTAACCAGGCTCACGGCAGGGCACGTGCACCTGGAGTTTGCATTCTTCGCCCCTCAGGTATTAGTGGTAGACCCAGGTTCATGTGACCAGGGCATTGGGACAGGGAGAGGTGGGCTTTGGGGGGAGTTAGTGATTCAAGCTTGGGTGACCAAAGGATACTGCTACCATGCAGAGAGCTATTAAAAATGGGGGGAAGAGCTGGATTGAGTAGATGGCTGATAAGAGAAGTTGGGTTGGAGGAGTAGGAAAGGTCTAGAAGAAATTTGTAAAGCAGTTGGTGCACCGGCGACTTGGAAGTGTGTTACAGCTCTGTGAGTCGCAGAGAGTGCCTTTATGAAGGAAAGGAAGAGAGAAAAGCGAAAGGCAGGAAGCAATAAAAGCTGTGAAGATCGTAATGGTCTCATAAACTCCATGTATTAAATATTTAGTAGGCTTTTTACTCAAGTATGTTACTTCCTCCCACCTGAGTTCAGTAAAGCCTGCATGAAAGGTAGTATATCTTTTTTTTTTTTTTTTTAACAAACCCATCTGCTTACAGAAAGGGTTCTTGGCTCAGGGATTTCTCTCTTTGGAGGAAACAGTACCTCTCTGCCAAGTTTATTTCCATATTACTTCTATTTTTCTTCCTAATTGGCCCAGTACTTTTCACTTTTATTTACAGATAATTATGTTTTTGTACCTTTTCAACATTTTTGTTCAATGCAAAATCTTATTTCGATATGAGATAAACAGGAGTTGCAATGAGCAGGTTAAAAAAGATAGGATGTTTTGGGCAGAATATCGACTAGATGTTTTAAACTCATTGATTTCAGAGTGAAATGAAGATGTAAAATGTTAGCTTTTTTACTCTCTGAGGAGATAAGAAGAGCAGGACTGTGTAGCTTCTTTTTTCTTCCTGTAGGAGCTTACCTTTGAGGGTTTCTGAGGTCTATTTTAAAATACACCAAGAAATGAATATTTTTTTAAAAAACTTGGTAATATTTGACTGCAGAGTGGTATATTCATGCACATGGTAATATTTCAGATTATAGCTAAACCTGAAATTTCTGCTAAAGTATGTTATAAAGATTCACTTATTGCAAAACTGGGTTGGGGACTATTCAATACAACTTAGAATGGGGTTGTAATCTTCTCTGAAGAAACACCCAAAGAGGAAAGATTGGGGGGGGCGGGAATAATGTTGATATAAAACATGGTCTTTTTGGTTATTCTCATAGAAAGGAAGAATTTAAAATGTTGAGTCATTTTAGTCGAATCTGTTTTATTATATAGTCAGAATTGCATGGAATAAGAGAAGAAGCCTATAGAGAAGGAACAATGACCCACCAGCCAGAGGTATGGTCTCATCTCTTACTTGCTAGACTCCTACACAAACCAGGATCACTTGCCCTCACCTTCAGAAACCCCATTGGAATTGAAATGGGATGAGGCTAAATATTGACATTAAAACACACACACACACACACACACACACACACACACACACACACACACACTTTCTGGGAGCTGGGGTTGTGGCTTAGTGGTAGAGTTCTTGCCTAGCATGCATGAAGCCCTGGGTTCAATCTCCACCACTAAAACAAACATACACCAAAAAACTTTACTTCCCAGGCAATCCAGTACCCAGGGCTAAGAACCATTGCCCAGAACCTTAGTTTATCAGCTCTAAGTTGCCATGTGATAGAAAAGTTAAAGTGAGGCAGCGAGTGCTCATGGGAGAATAAGGGAGAGCTGAGCTGGAGGGGAAATGTGGTGTATGTTTAGACTGACTCTCAGCATTCACTTACTCTAGAGCTTAGTTCAACCCAACTGGGAAACCTGTTCTCCTGGATGCTCATGGGCTCAGGGTAGAGCACACCATCTCTCTCTGGTCAAGGAGACCAAAGACATAGGAGAAGTCTGCCCCAGGTAGTGATTGTGGAAAAGATCTTTCACCTGAGGAAAAGTTCCAGAAGGATGTATTCTTTTTTCTTCCTTGTGCCCTTTTCTTTGGATGTGATGTTTGGTTCTGCTGAAGAAGAAATTATTTTGCTCCTTGTCTATAGATGGAGCTCCAAAGATCCTGGTCTGGATAATACTGTTTGGTACTGAATAATACTATTTCAATCAGTGCTGGAACCTATCCCTTTTCAGGATTTTATTTTCTTATTTCCTTCCTTCCTTCCTTCCTTCCTTCCTTCCTTCCTTCCTTCCTTCCTCCCTCCCTCCCTCTCCTTCCTTCCTTCCTTCCTTCCTTCTTTCTTTCTTTCTTTCTTTCTTTCTTTCTTCCTTTCTTTCTTTCTTTCTTCTTTTTTTTTTGGGGGTAGTGTCCAGGGGCACTTTATCAATGAGCTATTTTTTCTTTTGAAGAATGTGTCTTTAAAAACATACATACCATTTTTCTTTTTTATTTTGAAATTGGATTTCACCAGGTTGCTGGGATGGGCTTGGACTTGTCATACTCCTGCCTCAGCCTCTTGAGTCCATGGTATTATAGGTGTGTGTCATAGTGCCCATTGTTATTTTCATTATGTTGGATGAAAAATCTATATTTAAAGCCACCTTGAGTTAGATTTTATTATTTGTAGCCAAACACACTGTAAATGATAGAGTGAAAGTTTATTCCTGTCATAAAATCAGGATTGAATTCTCTAATGTGTTTCTGTGGAACTATATAAGTCTTCTTAAGGCTTCTGTGAAGGTAAAGTCTGGAACCTGAAAAATTCTAGAATGTTCCATTAGCCATATGAGTCAAACTCCTTTACTTTGATGAAGTAGATAAGAACTAGAAAGTAATATGACATTTCAAAGGTCACACAGGAAGTTGGTGACATTGCTATGTCTAGAAAAGCTAAAAGATATTGTATAGTAAAACTATTGTAGAGATCACATCCCACCATATTAACATTCAGCTAGTTTGTTGACATCCTCTCCATGTGTCCCAGTATCATGTCCCCTATACACAAAGTTATACCTATAATGTTTCCCCCTTAATTTAGAAAGCCCAAAATATATTTTTTAAAGTTATATTATTCGTCTTTGCTGTATTAAATTTCATTTTCTCAGTTTATATTTGACAATCAAGGGAAATTAGATAGTCATCCAAATTCATTTTGCTCTATAGTAGAAGCTTTTGGGGGTCAAGTTGAACCTCTGCTTTATTCTTGGATAAACTGGGTGTCAGCCTCCCTCGTGTAGACAACTACTTCTTCTTCAGAAAGCTTCCCACCATTGATACTAAACTCTGCAGCTATAGGTTTATCTTTAGAGTGTAAGAATCGGTCTGTTATTAAAATGCAAATATCTCTGGGCAAAAGAGTACTCAGATCCCTGCTTCTCATACTGAGGTAATGATACCCTTATGCAGTTGGCCAGGAGAATAATGCAGCACACTTTCCTAAAGAATTAATTAGCCCTGATGGTGAAAAAGAAAAGAAAAGGTATAGGACAAAATGAAACAACATATGCACTTTAAAGATGAAACCAGAGATCAAAATAATTCTTGTGTTACCTGAGTACCTCTGTTCATTTAATTCTATGTAGGGGTCCTTTGGGTGAAAAGTTTAATAAGCACTAATGTGTTGTTTGCCTCAATTTGCATGAATTGTTTCTCTTAAAAATGTAATGAATGCTTTATCTAGCTTTTTGCTGCTATGACCAAAAGACCCAACAAGAACAATTAGAGAAGGAAAAGTTTATTTGGGGGCTCACAGTTTTAAAGTTCTTAGTCCACAGACCTCTGACCCCATTCTTTGGGGCCCAAAATCCTGGTGAAAGAGTGTGATGGAGAAAAGTGGCTCAGGATATCACACCAGGAAGCAGAGAGAGAAAGGGAGGGGTTCTACTGAATATGGACAAAATATATACCCCAAAGGCATGCTCTCAGTGACCCATCTCTTCCAATAGTTGGAATCGCCTATAGTTACCACCCAGTTAATCCTGATCAAGGGATTGATGCACTGATTAGGTTTAGGCTTTTATAAACCAATCATTTCACCTTTAAACTTTCTTGCATTGTGTCACACGTGAACTTTTGGGAGACACCTCATATCTAAACCATAACACCGAATGCCAGCTGATCCTCAAGAGGGAGCTCACTGTGATCTGAGTTCCATTTACTATGTGTGAAAAATTAATCCAAAAATTAGTGGAGTGAAACAGTAATTTTAAGCTTATAAATTCTGTGGAATAGAAATTTTGACAAGATTCAGAGGGACCAGCAAGTCTTTGCCCCAAGATCTTTAGGCCTTACCTGGGATTATAGCTTGCTAGAAATCTCAAAGACAGAGTCATGTGAAGTTTGTTCACTTATGTGTCTGGCAGTTAATGCTGACTACTGGCTTGTAGGACCATTCCTTTCCCTGTGGGTTAACGTGGGCTTTCTCACTGTGTCCATAGTTGATGTCCCTAAAAGAGAGCCAGGCAGAAGTTGTAGCTTTTCTCAGGAGTTTTAATCTTTTTCAAAAGTCTTGTAGCATTATTTCTACCAAATTCTATTGATCATCATAGACAATAATTGCCTGCCAAGATCAAAGGGGGGGACAAACAAACCCCACCTCTTGATGTGTGAGTGGCAAGATCCTTAATAGCAAGTGGAGCTGGAGATATTATTGTGGCCATTTTTTAGAAAATAAGCTCTGCCACTGAAAGCTTACTATTACCAAAGGATTTCATCTTTTGGGGGTTAGTCTTCTGTGGCTGTAGAGAAATCCTTCAATTTCCACTCATATCTTCAATGGAAAGGTTGTCTTAAGAAAACCTACAAAGAATATGGATGGATTATCCCATTTCCAGAGCCTGATAAATAATTCCACATGCAGGCAGCTCAGGAACATCCTTAAGAATAAGAACCTGAATATTCAATATACCTCTAAAGAATATTATTGTCAACATAATTCATAATCAGATACTCACAAATAAGCTTGATCCTCATGTCACTTTAGACCATCTGTAACTAAATTTCCTCACTTTAAAGGATAAGACCTGGCTCTGTCTCTCTCAGAAGTTAGCAACACAGTGCTTTATGTGCAAAAGGTCATGATCTGAGTTTTAACCAGAATATGAAAAACTTTATTCACTTCTCCATCGGATGTTGAATAATCACATCATTCTTTAAAACTTTGGTTCCTTGTCTAGAATTCAGAATAAAAATCTTAACAGAACCTATTTCATGGGGTACCATAATATAATGCCTGTATTTAAACAATACAAGTAGGCTCTTAACATTATGGTTGATTTATAGGCTACCTGAGATGCTTTAATGTGAAGATGTATCTTAAGTCACTTTGCACACAGTAAATACTCTGGAAAATTTGATATTGTTTTCATTTATTATAACCAATTTGCTAGCCCTCATCTAGCTCAGCAATTTTAAAATCTGATATTTATGAGATTCATCTAATATAATAATTTGAGATATGGATTCTCAACATTCAGTTTTAGGTGCTTTTACTCACTAGGTCTGAAGTGGATTGCAGAATGTTTGATCATAATAGTCCCTCTTCCCCAGCCATGACCCCTAGTTAATTCTTACATTTTGAATGAATTACAGATGGGTATTGAGCATATACTCAGAAAATCTCTCAGGCACATCACCCCTGAATGAACTTCTGCTTCCTAATAGGCAGTGAGCCCTGAAGGCACAGGAAGGTATCTGAGTGGCTGCACACAAGAGTCAGGTTTGGGGAGGAATGAGGTAGTCCACCTAATGAAAGCTCTGTCCCCACATTGTTTTCCCCAGGAATCGGTTAGAGTCTTTGCTGTTCTTAGACTAGTGAGTGTGAGGGTTTGCCTTTTGAATTGACTAGGGTATAAGGTAAGACAATTTCCCAGGTCTTAATTTTTCTTTGAAAAAAATCAATTAATTAAAGGAGCAAATCACACTTTGTAGAGGACCAATTTACATGCACAACATCATTAAAACAAGTCTCTTTAACAACGATTGACCACTAGTTCCTCTGAACAAATGATGGAGCTGGTATCCCTGAAACAGACCTATAGCACTAAGCTGGTGGCTGATACATCTGACCCACAGTGCACTCTGCCCTTCTGGAGGAAACTTACACATTGATGACTGGTGAGAATGACAAGAAGTCAAGAATTGCTGGTCTTATTTCTTTGGAAAAGCACATTCCCTGGATAGTCCTTGATAACTCAGGAATACTGTGTTTTAGGAATTGTTTTAATCTATTGGTTTTGCCTGTCCCCACCCATCCCATCTCTGAGTTTCTAAGTTTTAACAGTTTGGTTCTAGAAAACATTTTGTCACTTGCAATGCTTAAAAGGGAGAACTGTACTAGTTGTATAATCTTCTGTCTCATTTATTCTCCTTATTCCTCATCATATTTTAGAATAATTATAAGGATATTGTTGATTACTTTTCCAATTTTAAAATTCCTCCTAATCTCATTTTCCCTCACCATCAAATTTTCCTGATTCAAAAATTTTTATAACACTGATATATTATATTGAATACACTGAATATATAAATTTATACAATAATAGCATAGATTGCTTACTTTACTTATTTTGGATGTAATTTTTTCTTATCAAGTATATTAGAGCCCTGCTGAGTGAGATAAATGATGCTGAAATGCTGCACTCACATTATATTCTAGTTTTCCTTATCAAAATTGACATTTAAAAAGACATAGAAATTCTTACTCTGCCCTCTGCTGGCAGCATCTGGATGCAAATGTTTCTTTCCTGCCTTTTCAACTTGGTATATAAATGGTACACATATAAGAGAAACTAACACATACTGAGTGCCATACTGAGCTCTGTGCTGGGCATCATGTAATTTAATCCCACAACAATTTGGTATGCTATTATAAAGAAATTGAAGATCATAGATGTCAGAATCAATATTCATATCCAAGGATGTCCATGTCCAAAGCCTACACTCATGCTCTTGTCTTGCACTAACTCCAATCCAATATCTTCAAAGAAAAAAATAGTGGGCTGGGGATGTGGCTCAAGCGGTAGCGCGCTCGCCTGGCATGCATGCAGCCCGGGTTCGATCCTCAGCACCACATACCAACAAAGATGTTGTGTCAGCCGAGAACTTAAATAAATAAATATTTAAAAAAAAAGAAAAAGAAAAAAATAGTCTTAAAAAACTCTGTATCGCATCTCTGATAACTATGTGCAGTCCAGAGCACAAGATCGTGTCACAAAGACCTGGCTTTAAACCATCCTTACCTCTTCCTGAGTTTCTCCCCAAGGACAAGTTATTTACCATTTCCAAACCTCAGCTATTTCATCTACTGCTCTCTATCAGGATAGTAATGGCCAACATTCAGCAGTTTGGTGAGAACTGAATGAGATAATTCATGTAAACCACCATGTTAACAACCAACATGTGGTGGGCCTGGTGACCATAATCTTGATGAAAACTATTGTGTTTGTAAAACTTAGTTTGTTGGGCATGCTTTTGATTTCTGCCTTTTATGACTTCGCATAAATGTTAAGCAATTTTTTTTTCCAGTGGAAAGGGGCCTCCTGGGCATCCTATTGAGCTCACATTGGAAACTTTCTTCCTCCATGAGGCTA